TTCACACAGTTTTACTTTAAGATCTCAGTTAATACTATTGTCTAGTGGAATATATAAAAGCTTATTACCATAGATGTATTCAATTCAGAATATTTATCATTATCAGAATGGATCTCTTTGTTAAGCAACATCGATATTCTCTACTTTAGAACTATAATTAAACAGTAATTTATCGTTTATTAGAAGTGAAATTTACTTCAAACATACATAGTTCCTTTTATCATTTTGAAAAGAGCAAGAACAAATATTCTAGCAGAATAGCATGAATTCATTTTTATTTCGTAGGTTCTCATCATTTGCTTACAACCTGTGATATTTAAAATCATAATTACATAATGAGTTTAAATTACTTAGATGAGAGGGTTTGGTTGGAAGTTATATTGAAGACATATTAGTAAAGTATAGCAAGGGTGTAAATAAATTTAATAGACTGAATATTGTATATATATACCTTATGCGAAAGAACATTTTACAACAATGATTGTGACAACAGTTTAAACAGCTAGAAAAAAGTGATTACATAATGAGTAAATATTGAAGAAGAAGAAGAAGGAAAAAAGTAGATAACATAACTTTCAATCCTGATAATCACGGAATTCGACTCAAATACTCACCATAATTGTAGCTAATCAAGCTATGTTTATGAATAACACTTTCAACAAGCATAATTTATGGAAGTTAGGAGAGAGTTTAACTGTTATTTCATTAAATCATTGACTAACTGTATGTAATTGATCAGATGAATTATTTGGACTCAATATAACAACTAACATATACATGTTCGAGACCGACTGTTGAATTCAGTGAATTGGTTTTTAAAAAAGTTTCAAGAAAAGACAACTGGATTTAAGCAGAAAAGGATTACTTTTCTTTAGAAAGATACTTTTTTTCTGGTTTACTATTAATAGATATGTCACTTTCAAGAGGTGATCTGCATAAAACTTTGCTCAATTCTAGTAGGAGAAATCAATTATTATCATTACAGGATTGTGGAGATTGTTGAGTTTCGATTGAAATCATCAATGTTAGACCACTACTGAATCCTACATGCGGGATCGTGGATGCGCATTGTTGATGAGTCCCATACTAGGAAGAAACGGTCATCCAGTGCTTCCAGGTTTTGAATGGTGGTCTAACATTGGTCATTTTATGATCTCAACCGAAAACCAACTATTAACTAGACAAATGAGTGGTGACAAACGCAATCATTATTTAATGAACGCACACTAGGTTGGGGACAACGAACTCATAGCTTAGAACGAAATTACAGAATATCTTGTTAAAATATGGGAACTATACACTAAATATTTCATTTATGGATTCCCATCAATTGTCCTTCATATTCTGTATGATTCTTTCATTTCACAATTCTTTTCTATTCTCTCCACCTTGATCTCTTAGCCTTGTGCTACCAGGTTTTTCACTTCCGATTGGTGTTACATACTACTTATATTGAACGACATAAACAACATACACCACAATTATACTGAACGAGTACATTTTAATGATTGACAGCCATAAAGATGAAATTCAACGCTTTTTTTTATCCTACTATCGTCTTTAGTCACTCAACTATGGTACTTGATAAATTAATTAGCGATTAGACATTCATTTTCTTTTATTGATTCAGTTTACATTAGTCACAAAAGTTTTAAGCATAATTTGACAGTATGTAGTGTGTGAGTTGGGAGATAACCGATTCAATTTAATCGAAAGTATTAATCAACTAATTTACTTTGATTGAAGGGCTGTTTAGTTTCAGGGTAAGATTATTAAACAGTGTCGAAGCACATGCTGTAAAATAATGGATGCAAATTACCATGAGAGGTTCCAAGCCGTGTCACTCAAAGTTTTCTACTAATGACAATGTTATTTCACGAACTACAACCAAGTAACCATCATTTACAACAAATTATCACCATAATAACCAATGACTTAATGATTTGACTACCCATGCTTTCTTAAATCTTACTTCTATCCAAGACAAAGATCATAAGAGCTTTGATCTATGGTGAATAATTTATTTGAATTAATTTGGAAATCTGAAATTTTATAACAAATCGGACGTAATGGCATTCATCTTTAAATATCAGTTGATCTATTTCATCAGTAAAATAATGTTTTGAATAATCTAACACATCTATCAACACAAATGTTGTTCAATAGACTTGCACTAATTGATTATTTATTAATGAAATATAGAGTCAAAGACAAATCTATAGAATAATCTACTGTCGATGAACATTATGCCTTCGGATTACTGAACTCTAAATTTCAATTTGAGTAAATTTATTCTATACAGTGACCGTAAATCAGTGTAATCGGTAACTTATTGTCTTATTCTCGATACGATTGACTCCTTAGATTCCGAAATTTCTGTGAAACCTCAAGAGATCCATATTGAAACTAGTCTCTGAATAGTATATAACAATTGCTTATCTGGACATTTTGTATAACTTTAAGATATATTTCGTCACAAATTATTATCATTCGGAGGTCCAGTGAATACCAGACGTAAAATGGTTATTCATCAGATGTTGGTTCTTTTAGTCAAAGTTATTACACTGGTTGGTAAATCCTCAACTAATCAACACATTTTATTTAGAGCATTTAAACTCAGATTATTTGGAAATTACTATTATAATTATGCACATTTCTACATTTCACAGTAAAAAAACATATAAACCTGTTTATTTTCAATTCCTTTTTCATATTAGCTATTTCAAATCAGTTATCTATGATGGATAGTTCTCATAACGGTGAGACTATAATTTCTGGACAACCTTTGAGCGATGCCAAAGTGACCTTGAGAATGTCCACCCACCTATTAATGTTAGATGAGGATTACAAATTAGTATCAGGAATAAGGATTTACAGTTGAACGTTAGAATTAGGAGTTAGGTTTAGGTTTTTATTACGAGCTTATATCAACTATCATGCAAACTGCTCTTCGAGCAAATGGATCAGTAAATTTCACATCAAAATTCAAGACCATTTACCTTAAATCTGATTGGTTTGTCCATAAATTAAAGTTACGCCGGTTATTGGAGTACCAGAAAGGACTTCTGGCAAGGCTGTTTTATCTGTGTATTTTATCCGATATGTTGGATTTCATAACCAAGTTAATTAGTAACAATCTGGATTGTAAAGGTCAAGTAAACAATCTTTAACCAGAGATAATGCAAATATTACAGCTTTCTGTTGACATAATAAAAGATCTTTAATAATCATTCTGTCTCACTTTATATGTGTATAATTGTGTATCGTTTACCTGTCGTTGTGTTCCAGTTTGTTCAGTTTCCAATAGAAACATCAGAACAGTACATTTATTAGTGTGTATCATGTGGTTATGTTATCTCCCTTCAAAAATTGTAATAAGAGCTTAATTTTTCAACAACGCTATAACAAATACCACGTTTTCTTTTTTCTAATTCAACTAAATAGTTTATGTAATAATGTAAAAAATAAGATATTGCTGGTAATGATATTGAGTAAGCATACTGTTTCTGAAGATAAATTCAGTCATTTCAGTTCACTACAATGAGTAAATTTAAAGAAACTGGATCAAAGCTGTCAACTGAATACTTTTTGTATATTTTTGTAGATTCACAATGCATTTGACAAAAACTAATCATCTTTCAGTCAATTAGTAAGATTTATTCACACATTTCTATTTTAGCCTATAAATAATGTACCAAAATTATTCTGAAATTACATTCCTCATCCAACACAGTTTTCACACTTGTGATATGTTATATTATTCGCATACTTTTCTTGAGCATTTGAAAGCATCATTTGTAAGGTCGAAAAACCAACACTATTCTTTGTTTGTATATTTTACAACAAATAAGCATGTTGATTTCTCGATCTAGCTAATTATTTCCTGGTCAGTTCCACTTTGTGCTAGGAAATTAATACCATATCTGATGTTGTAATGAATGGAAAGTTTTGTAAATAATTAGACATAAACGTTATCTGATTCCATTTAAACTTCTACAATATTTGTACTCAGTATTAGGTGTGTGAGAATTTTTTTTGAGATTCCTCACAACAACGAAATTTAATGTCATAACCTTCACTTCATGAAATTGGGGATTATGAGCAATATCATCTCTGTGTTACTATGGCAAAAATAAGGTATAAGTGAATAATAATCAGAATAGAAATGATGGTGATAATAATAATAATACATCGTATTAATTACAATTTAACACCTTACAATGAATTTTACTACAACATTTACGTAAATAACTGTTTAAATATACAAATGATATTTTAAGTGTATTTAAACCTTAACTGATGCAAAATTTCACAATGTTTAACAAATAATATTGTTTAGTTAACTAATACAACCTTTTTAATATAACACAATAATTAGAACTTGATGACGAAGTTATTGAAAATAATGGTTCATTTTAACATTCTTGATTGTTAAATATTCTATTGAGACAGTTATCTACCACAGACAATAGATGAAAGGTTATACAAGATTATGGATCGATTGTAATTAGACATTAACATCGATAGATACTGGTTCAGTGGTCTAGAAGTTAAGTGTTCGTGCGCGAGACTGTAGGTCCTGGATTCGAGTCACACGTGCGGTATCGTGTATATGCACTGCTGAGGAATCCCATACTAGGACGAAACGGCCATCCAGTGTTTCCAATTTTCTGATGGTAGTTTAGGCTAGATCGACTCATGAATTCAACTGTCAAAACACTGAATGTCAGTGAATATTCAGTATTTTGAAATTCACAAGAAACAGTTAACAATATAGACTATAAAGCAAATCCCATCAATGTGGAGTGTTATTTATTTGTCTAATCTAATTTATAATTCAATTCAGACCAACTAGTCAATAATAAATATGTACAATTGGTTGCATTATTTCATTTCAGCCCATTGTCTAGTTTACCGTGTCAAATTATGATTGGTTTATAGATTATTGGTTAAACCAAATTTACCAATGTCCAAACGTCCGACTAGTCACTTGACTATTATTCTGCATGAAAAGTTGAATGGATTTTTTTAATCTCTCTTTATGTTTCATTTCCCCTGTACTTTAACAAGATGTGAAAGTTAGTAAGAATTTGTTACACTTATGAAAGTTTATCAATTATTTTCAGTATCATCATCAGATATTAAAGTAATCAATTAACCAAATGACATAGGAATGAAGACAACCGGAATAGATTGTGGAAATAAAACAGATCAAATCAGTGATTGGAATTTAGAATCAAGTTTAAATAGTGTAGTCTCACGTGTACCAGGTTCCTTCTGGTGGTTTGATACATCGTCGATAGAATCTGATGGAATAATCAAAAGATATTATTGGCTTCGAATTCCTGCCCATGAACTCTCTACCAATTTTCGTCAAAAACATAATGTTACTGATCCTATAAACATTCATTCATCTCGGTTATTGGCTAGACTATTACTACTTCATTATAATGAATCAATAAATATTTCAGGTGTTCAACTTACTCCACAAAATCCGAATCAGATCATATGTATTGATTGTTATGTACCCCAGAACGGAGGACATTGGAAAGTAATATGGAGTGATTTAAGACGAAACCTTGAATTATCAATTGCATCAGATAGGGAACATTGTGATGTATCGAAAAAATTGATATCAGGAATGCCAATACAGTTAGGGCCCGGTTTACGACTTATCGGTTGGGCATCTGGTCACTCATATTCGTCCAAATCTTGTGATGATACATTACCAGGCTGTGAGACGCACAGCTGGTGCTTTGTAATGCCTATAAATATAGATCATTTGTATAACGTGACTGTACTGTTATTATTACCAGAAATCAAGGATGTAAAAATTAACCCGCCTACGCATCCCTTTCAATCGACAGGATTGGGTGGAAGTATTAATGATATAAACCTATTAAACACCGACAAATGTCAACCTTTCACAACAAAACAATCCAAACTTACACAAATTAGAGAGTCACAATTCAGAAAAAATTCAGACTTATACAACAACAATAGTAATTTTTCTTTTACATCAAGTCTTTTGGGATTCGGATCTAAATTGGCTATTATCACGCAGCCGGATAATTATCAAGGGAAATTAGATATGAGTTCCATTAGTGTCGATTCAATCTGTTCCCTTGATGCATTAGATTATCGTTGTCGTGTTGGTGATAAACGAAAATTCTGTCAATACACATACATTAAAACACAAAGTGGTACTCCAGCCTATAAAAATGGAGCTTTTATCGGTCAGCTAAAAAATGAGCTTCAAGAAACAAATCTAGAATATGACAATCAAAATAAATTATTTAATGATCAACCATTCATTCTAGATCACATCAAAGAAATGAACTTAGAAGGAACACATTTTGTATCATGCATGAAACATAATGTAACCATAAACTGTGATTCTTCAGTAGTATCCAAGGCTAAAAATGAAAATGGATTTAATTCAAAATGTTATGCTGAAATATATCCAGTAAGTTACTATCATTGATTTATTTTATTTGTATTTGTAGAAAGAATTTTATTTTTCATTGTGAATTGATAGTATTGAAGAGTTTCGCGATAAATGGATAGCATCTTTCTAGGCGACCAAAGCTTAAACGGTTTATCTTCGAATTTGAATTGGATATTGTATAGGAATCATTAAGTAGTTTACATGGTATACTGACAAATCATTCAGATTTAGTATGATAACTATTGAAGTTTTGTGAGAAATTAAGAATGTAATGACATATAGCTTGTATCTTACTGAGAGCTAGATACGAATAGCCTAATATTCAGTTCATGAAATGCTTAAAATTAGTAAACACATCTGATTTATAATGACACAGTGAATATGACCTAGTGTTAAATTTAAATAAAAAAGAATACCTTTCTTCTGATGTAGAATGCATCTGAAATTGTAATTGCTCAGTTAAACTAATTGGTTGGTTCGAAGAGATGAAAGGTGGGTTGAAAGGTGGATACTTTAAAGACTGAGCCAAAGTTTTATTTACTTAAGTAACAAATAGTAAGTTCTTAATTAAGACTGCTATTATATGTTATCTTTAAGTTTAGATATTTTGTAATATTTGTTAGTTTGAACATGCTCAAACTTATTTAATACTCAAATTGGGTTGAAGAATGAAATAATAATATCGAAGGTGATTCATGATGATCAATAATAAGACTTAGTTTCACCCTAAATAATTATTGATTATTGAATTAAGTTGTGTAAAATATACTCTATTTGTTGGATAGCGTTTTAATGATGGTTAGATACACTGAATGATATGATTAGTTGGTAATTCAAACTATCGATCTGCATTTGTTTATATCTTATATATTTTAGTTTTGGATAGTCTATATTTGATCAGATTTTTGTGTTACTTCATTAATTCGGTTGAAATTTTCTATAGAGTATAAGCTATCTCGATTAAAGTAATGTAAACATTCGCTACCTAGGAAAAAGTAGTTTGTTCCTACTAATTCTACACTGTTTGGTTATTATTTCTTACAAAAATCATTCTTCAACTAATTTCATCTATTATGGAATCTGATTTTCATTGATCAACTTGTTTTTTTTTGTTTTGTTTTTTTTCAAATTGACGTATACAACCAGTTGTTTCATGTGTACTATTACCTTTGTATGATCTATGGTAAAGTACATAGTGAATATTAATTATTCAGATTGAATGAATGACATTTCTAGATTGTATCTAGAAAAAAATGTGTTATGGAATGTTGACAAAAGGATGAAGCGAAAGATACAAGTTAAATATCTCTAAAAGTAAAAATAAAATATGAAAGGTACATTTACTTCAATCATTTTACTGACAAAACTAATTTTATTTAATTATAGAAACTTTGATCAACAATTATACATTATTATTATTATCTGTGTAGGGTTTTGCAGTCTGTTATTGAAATTACTTGTAACTAGTTTCGAGTGAAGATTTCTTGAGTTGTAGTAAGAATTCGTATCTATTAGAGTTCAACGATGTTGGATCTGAGACAATTATCTACCATAGGCAATGGAAGATAGTTGTACAATATATCGAGATTAGGTGTTCAAGAGAGACTAATGATCCTGGGTTCCACCCCTGGTGATGGAATCATGGATACTCACTATTGAGGAGTCTCATATTTAGGACGAAGCAACTACCTAGAGCTTCCAGTTTTTCAGTGGCGTCCTAACCTAGATCGGTTTATGATCTCAATAAAATAATGCATCTTTTTCCTTATTTTTTAAGACTATCGGAAATTCATTTACAAATTTGATAATGACTGATTGACAGTTGAAATGCTTGATTTAAATGAGTTAGTTAGTTTTTGTACTACTTTCAAGATGAATTAAACACTGCTCTAACTGTTAAGTCATTGTTCAATGCACTAATGAATTATGATAATCATTTGTAATGAGTATTAGAGCATGTAATTTCTCAATACTGATTTTTTTTATTCAGATTGGCATACAGACTAGTAGGTATCGCCCAATAACAGTTAATTGAGATAATGATCACCATTTGATCATCCTTACAAATAGCTCATATACCTATGGATACCTTTTATTTAACCCTAGAAAGTATTGATATGGAGGAACTATAAAAATGGAATAACAAAGTCGTATGCCGCATCGTTAACTGTAGTCAATTAAAAAACTGATACTCATAACCAACGAGCTCTACATTTTAATTTATTTGACATTGATATTAGCTATATTTCATTGATCCTCTCATTTTTTTTATGCAGTAAAATGAATACCATTTTAAGACATGAGACTGATCTTGTGGTATTCACTAATGATTAAGTTAACTAATTTATAAAAATAGTTTATAGAAAACATTTATGAAAATGCTTGAGATTGTTACACCAAATGTGTAAAATACCTCAAAGAGTTTATAATTGTCAAGTTGTAATAACCGAATTAACAATACTGAAAGAATTAACAATCATTATGTAAATTCCACATGATCATAGACAGGACGTTTAGAAGAAAAAAGAATCATTCTGTTGTTATGACCTAACAACCGATTAATGAGGATGTTGTTTTCTTGTACGTTGTTTCATTTCTCATCTCATCATTAATGTTATGTGGAAGTTTATATTCTTATTTTCTGCTAAGATTCAAATGTCCAGTTGTTCATACTAATACAAGTATGTATTTAACAAGATTATTGAAATTTTGACAACAGCTAAATAGCGGGACTTCAAAAATATACTTTTGTATGGTTGTGTAAAGTAGAAGGATAAAATAATGACAAACAGTGATTGTCACATATATTTTGCTCAATAATAATAATGAAATAATGAATTCGGGTTCGTTAATCAATAAGAAGAGCGTTCAAAGGCAAATTTTCATCAACGATACGCCAGTTACAATTCAATTCTGTACTCAGAGGTCAAAGTTTAAAATTATAATGATTAATAAATAATGTTACGATTTTTCGTATTGGTCATAACAAGTTGGTATCACAAAACCTGCCAAAATCTAGTGAATTAAATGTTATTAGCTAATAAAAGATCATTTTTTTAATATTCTTATAAGATTATCTATCAATTTCTCAATCCACAATTGCTGTAGAGTATTCAACATTTTCAAAGATTTCCCAGTTCATATAGCTGATGAGTGCTGGAAATTTTGGCGAAACTATAATTTATGCTGACCTTCGAGCAACGTTTAAATGACCTTACAATGTTCACTTACTTACTAGAGTTAAATGAGGCTTACAGATTAATGTGAGGAATTAAGATTTACTGTTGGACGTTAGGATTAGGAATTAAATTTGATGTTTTCATCACGAACTGACACCAGCTATAATGCCAAAATAATATATTGACCAAATGAGTGAATGAATTTCACGCCGAAATTCAAGACCTGCTATCTTAAATATGATTGATTCGTCCATAAATTATAGTCTCGTCGAGATTTCATTTCAAGCATTTTAAAGTATTCAAATATGTTTATTATAGACAATTCAGTATGGCTCATCCTAAAATACCGGATGAAAAACAGAAATCTAAAGAATGTTAGAGCTGTAAAGGAAATCTCTAACGAAAATCAGATCATAATATGCAGCACTTAGCTACGAACTGAAAGGAAAAGTGACAAAAATTACTGGACACCGCACAATTACTGAGCATTGATAAAGGGATGGGTAAACACATAGATATTTTCTCCTGCTCAAATACATATATTTTCAAACGAAGTTATAAGTAAGGATCATTGAATTCTTATTCAGTGATTGATTAGAATCATAAGTACGCACTATTAACCAGTCATATACTAGGTCAGAGGGAACTGTTGATTGTCTATTAGATCACAGCGATTTTCCAGTTGATGTTAAAAGCTAATGCTTGTTGAAAACCTTTTAATTTATCACCAAACATAATTATCGCTCCTTTTCTTTTCTTACAAAGTGTTTGTATCAACGAAATAAATCTGAGGATTCAATCTCGATTTTTGTTATAATCTTAGTGATAAGTTAAACTTAATAATCAACGAAACTGAATTTACTTTCATATTTCCATAACCAAAGCAGGAATACATAAGTAATTTCCATGTATCTAATTCTGATTTTATTCGTCAGTTATTTTCGCTTCATCATTAGTACTGACTTTCAGTTTATATCTTTTGTGAAAACTGTGGAGTTTTCATCGTGTAAACCACGAAGTAACCTTAGTTAGACTACCATTGGAAGCCATAAGGATTACCGTATCATCCTGACATAGGGCTTTCCGACTGTGGGTATCCACGACTCTATCACTAGGGATAGAATTAAGAAATTTCGCTTAATTCCTAGACTGTAGAAATTGAACATCAATCGCTTCACGGTATTACACAACTAGCATTAATTCCGTGCAGTATATAATTGTCTCACACACCCAACCATAGTTCAACTCAACTGGTTGCCGCTTCTCACTAGAACTCCAAGAGTAACATCTTGAATCTGATCACTAGTGAACGTATGATTATCATTAGTATTCATACTAATATAATATTCACAATAATTACCACTTGAAGTGGATTACTGTAACATTGAATCATTATACTGAGAAGAGAATTCCTGCTTTATTCCTATGATTTCGAAATTGTAATTTATCAATTAAAACATACATAAAATGAATTAAGTGGAAAAAAATTTTTTTCACTGTATAATGCGATCAATTAATGGGATATTTGACAACGCAGAGGCAAATTTCACGTTAGGACGACATTTGAAAACTGTCAGAATGGACACTTACAAACCAACTTAGACAACATGAAAGTGTCTAAGTTGTTTTAGTTAAAAATTCAAACATTGAGAATTTCGAATCTTCACAACTTGATTATTCAATATGATAAATAATACTTGTGATATGAAACAAATTAGCTTTACATTATTAACTCTGACAATTAGATTTTGGTTAATCAATGATTTACTTTCCATAATACTAAGAGATTAGAAGCGTTTAGCTTTATTTTTTAAACAAGGTTCTTTTTTATGATATGGG